TTTAAAACTAAATACACAAACCTGCAGGGCTTGCAGATAATTAAGAAATCTAATAATTATTCACTTAGTAAAAATATATTTCAGATTAACAGGAAAAATACGTTTAGATTCTACTCAATTTTCATTTTTAAAAATACTCAGTGACATTTGATCTTTTCTACAGAAAAACAATTCTGAACAATTAAAATAAGGTGAAAATACTAGAACTTAGTGTTAGTAACTGAAGGACTTTATTTTGTACACTCCAGTGAAGGAGAAGACATAAAAAATATGGCAAGTATTTGACAGATCCAACTAAAAAAGAAGTGAATTTAAAAGCATCATACACTTTTATATAAAACTGAGGCCAGATTTAATAAGCAGAAAGTTTATTCTTTAGGAACCACCTCTTAAGATAAGTAAATGATTACACAACATTTTCCAGAGAGAGATGGTGAAGACTTAAAAATCTGACAAACAGAAAGCTAAATTGACCATGTGAAGATCTATATTTTGTTTTTAGACACCTACTTTGAAGAAATAAATTACTTTTTATCTGTAATTTTAGAAATTGTTTCAAAGAAGAACGTCTTATTTTCCACAAATGATCATTCTTTAATGCTAAATCAAATTTGAAATTGTTGTCAAAATTTATTCTTGACGTCTTACAGAACACACACAGTCATATGTTGCATAAGGACATTTTGTCAACAGACTGCTTATACAGTGGTCCCATAACATTATAATGGAGCTGAAAAATTCCAACCACCTAGAGACAATGTAGCCATGGTAACACTGCAGCAAAGCATTACTCACGTGTCTTTGGTGCTGCCGGTGTAAATAAACCTACTGTGTGCTGCCAGTTGTATAAACTTATGGCACATACAATTATGTACAGCACATAATACTTGATAATGACTTTGTGACTGGTTTATATATTTACTATACTTTTTTATCATTATTTTAGAGTACTCTCCCTCTACTTATTAAATAAAAAAGTTACGTGTAAACAGCCCCAGGCAGGTCCTTCAGGAGGTCTTCCAGAAGAAGGCATTGTTATCACAGGAGATGACAGCTCCATGTATGTTGTTGCTCCTGAAGACCTTTCAGCGGGACAAGATGTGGAGGAGGAAGACAGTGATATTGAAGATCCTGACCCTGTGTAGGTCTAGGCTAATGGATACTTGTGTCTTAGTTTTTAACAAAAAAGTTTAAGAAGTTAAAAAAATTAAAAAGTTTATAAAGTAAAAACATTAGAGTAAGCTAATGTTAGTTTACTACTGAAGAAAAATTTTTAAATAAATTTAGTGTAGGCTAAGTGTGCAGTGTGTATAAAGTCTACAGTAGTGTACGGTAATGTCCTAGACCTTCACATTCACTCACCACTCACTCACTGACTCAACCAGAGCAACTCTCAGTCTTGCAGGCTCCATTCATGATAAATGCCCTACACAGATGTACCAATTTTTACTTTTAGATCGTATTTGTACTGTATCTTTTCTGTTTAGATATGTTAAGAGACGTAACTGCCTAGCATTGTGTTACAACTGCCTACAGTATTCACTACAGTAACATGCTGTACAGGTTTGTAGCCTAGAGCAGCAGGCTATACCAAATAGCCTAGGTGTGTAGTAGGCTATACCATCTAGGTTTGTGTAAGTTCAGTCTATGATGTCTGTACACTGATGAACGTGCCTAAAGATGCATTTCTCAGAACACGGCCTTGTCGTTAGGTGACAATGACTATATTCTTGTCATGGTTAAAACAAATAAAAGTTTGCTGTTTCAGACTTTGAAGCTATGTAAAAGCTGAATTATATACCTTACTCAGAATTTTTGAAGACTGTATGTCGGTAAATGAACAACTTCACTCAAAACTCCACAGCATGACCAATTTCAAAGAGTTATGCCCAGAAAGGCAAGATATATCAAATAATCATTTTATTTAAGAATCAAGTACCTGGAACCTGAATGATCTCCATTCTGTCCAACAAGGCAGCTGGGATAGTAGCAGTGGTGTTGGCAGTAGCTATAAAAAGAACTTGGGAAAGGTCAAAGGCCACATTTAGATAATGATCTGTGAAGTTATGGTTTTGCTCAGGATCTAACACCTACGGGAGAACAAAAAACAAACAAATTTAGTAGTTCCAATAGAAAGCTGTATAAATTAAACCAGGTTAGCAAGG